GTGTGTGTGTGTGTGTGTGTGTGTGTGTGTGTGTGTGTGTGTGTATATAAAGTCTTTTGTCTGGTGAAAAAAATTTCCCTGGAACCTAACCCCCTCATTTACATTAATTCTTATGGGGAAATTGGATTCGCTTAACATCGTTTTGCTTAAAGTCGCATTTTTCAGGAACAAAACTACAATGTTAAATGAGGAGTTACTGCAGATATATGTGCTTGTACAACATAAAATAAGCCTCAGTTATTCAGGGATGCTGGAACCGTTTTTATAGTGGAGGTGCTGAGAGCCATTGAACCAAACAGTAAACCATGTATATAATGGAAACCACTTCAAGCCCGTGGTGTTGCAGCACCCTCCGCACCCCTAGTTCCAGCCCCTATGTAGTTATTTGTGGGAGACATCCGTGACAAGCAAGATTACAGTGCCTAGGATTCAGAATCATAGCAATTGCTTTTCCTCTCTGAGGACACTTGCAAAACAAGTGGAAATGGGAAGAGAACTGGAGTTGTCTTTAATAGCAAGCACATCCTGGTGAAGTAATGGATGGCAACGTGTGTAAGCAGAAGTCTGAGTTTAGTTTTGCTGCCTGCCCATATTTTCATTAATTAATATAATGAATCCATCCCCACATTCCCATAGACACAATGAGGTTTTTACTCCTGATTATACAATTTTGAAAGTTCAATCAACACAAGCATGGTCTAGCAAAGTGAGCACTGGATTCAGAGGCAAAGCTTCTGAGTTCTAGTCCTGGCAATGCCACTGACTCACCATGTGACCATGGGAAAGCCGCTTAACCTCTCTGCACCAGTTTCCCCATCTGTAAAATGGAGTTCATAATACTTATCTTTGTCACAGGGAAGTGATGTCTGAAAGGCCCTATGTAATGGCAAGTATTATTATTGGCATGTAGATACCAGAGTGATAGGTGTCCTGGAAATGCCTAAGACAGATGTGTATGAAATCATGCTTTTGTGCCACTTATTCTATATAGAGGGAAAAAAGGAGCTATAGGAAAGATGAATAACAGCAAGCAATTCGAGAGCATAGTTTCTGCTCCGCTGCCTGAAAGTGTAATTGTAGGTCATTCCCCCCTCTAGGCAATTCTCAACGTCATTTTAACAGGCAGAGCAAGTCCGCATGTATTTAATGGGTTCCAGAAACTTGACAGTGAAGGTGGAGTGCAAGAACTATTGCATGGAGTCCTGGCCCGCAGTGATGTGGGCTATTTACACTGGAACAAGGAGGAAGTGGAGCATTACAGACCCCTCCAGGTGAGAGCATATGCAAATCACTGAGCTGCACTGACATTCCTATGCTCAGATCCCCTGGCTTTAGATTGTTACCGTGAGTACACTATATATCATCAGCTTTCCCCCTGAAATTTCATTTATGCTCTGTAGACTGGGGGCTTATCTTCAGTGAAAAATAAAGTATGTTCTTAATTTGAGTTCGGTAACTCACGGTAAAATACTAATGAAGACAAGTAAAATACTAATGAAGACAAGTGATGTGCCTTAGAAAGTTTCCTGTTGGGCAATATACTGAAAGCACAACGGTTACTGAGGGTGGGGGCCACATCATGGCATTGGGAAAAGGCAGTAGAATGAGGGAATAGGCAATAAGTGATGAAGAGTTTGAAGGCTGGGTAATTACAGGGTTGTTGTCTCAATGCCATCGAGCCGTGCCGCTAAAATGTGCCACCAGTGACACACACAAAACAAGCATAAAAATACATCATAGGCACATAATCTGGGTGTAGCTGGGTAGAAAGTAGGTGGAGTCAGTAGGAGGAGGGACAGGGGAAAAGGAGGATCATGCAAAGAAAACATGGACATACATTCGTAGAAAGCCATCTGAATTAATGCTGACAATGTCTGCATTAAGCCAAAATGCAGCCAGGCCCAGTTAGCCAGGCCCACACACACATTCTCATCATATAAATCACACTCCACTCACTGCCAATACAAAAAGGCAATGGATGACCACACATTTATGGTTACTGCTGGACATGGACACACGCATTCTCAGTCTACAGCTCCCACACTTTCCCACCATATGCTGAAGCTTTAAGGCACACTCCTGTTCCCTCCTTGTGTTCAATCCCTGGCCTACTGCAACACAGGAGCTTCCACTTATATGGCTAAAACAACCACACTTTGCTCAGGTGCCTATACCACCAGCAGATCCAAGGAGCTGCTGTATAGGTTATGCATCCGAAGAAGTGGGCAGTAGCCCACGAAAGCTTATGGTCTAATAAATGTGTTAGTCTCTAAGGTGCCACAAGTACTCCTGTTCTTTTTGCGGATACAGACTAACACGGCTGCTACTCTGAAACCTGTATAGGTTCAGTGCTCCTTATTCTTTTCCTTTGTTTCCTAAGGGTTTTTCAGCACCCTTGTTCATGCCACAGGAGAACAACCCCAGTGCTCAACATGCTGCCTTGCAAACTCCAGGGCTTCAAAGCTACAGCCCTCAGAATAACACATCAAACACAGTAATAAAATTGGCTGAAGAAAGTATCGCTGATGGGAAGAGTGAAGACAATGAAACACTTTGATGTACATGTAAAGAAGGGCAGTGTGGTCTCATGGATGGTGTATAGGACTGAGAGTCATGATCCTCAGGGTTCTAATCCAGTTCACGTACCCTGTCAGTGCCTCAGTTTCGCTTTTTGTAAAATAAGGATAAGCTTTACCTACCTCCCAGAGGTGTTGTGAAGTTTAGTCGGTCATTATTTGCTTTAAAGATTCAAATACACTTCTAGACCGTCAATGCTGGGAAACTGCTACTTTCATCTGCTTTTTGCCTACTCCCATGGGAGTTTAAAACAACACAGTCTGCCCTTTATGAAGATGAGATTTAAGCTGCTTGAAGAGTCTTTTAGTGTCTTGGGACGTTATTTTTAGGCCTTGAATTACTAGGTCCCAGATCCAAATTTGGAAGCCTAAATACCTCTGTGGACCTGAGCCAAGGTTTTATTATATTAGTTCTCTTTTTAAGACTGAAATATTTTCACAGATCTAGTTAATGCAGAACGAATGCAAACCTGACCCTCTGGGGTTAATTTCACTTATCCAGAGAAGACTCAATACATGTTGTTCTTTCTTTCCTTACATGTGTTATTGTCATTGTCATGCTCTTGAGGCTTATGTACATCGATAGCATAGTGATCATTTGAAACTTGACTTACAAGACATTGTTGTCCAATTCACATTTTTCAGCTGACTTGCATTACTTTCTAGATAGGATGCTTTTCCCCCTCCCCAAACAAGAGAGAATATACAATAATGCAAAATGTAAAGCTTCTTTTCTTCTTTTATGTATGAGGAATTATTTACACCATCAAATGCTAGAGTTAATCTTAGCTGTCTTTCCTAATAAACCACTACTGCATGGATATGTCTAGGGACTAGAGTCTATAAACTGTTTAGGGATTTCCTTCTTCTTCAGTACTTAATTCTGCCTGACAGATTTTGTTCTCAAAGTGAGAAATTACTCCGTCTCTAGATTGGTCATATCTCATTTCACCTTGGTAAATCATCTTTACACACCAGACTTAATGTTAATGGCCATTGGATGCAAGCTGTTTGTCAATGAAGCACTGGTCTGAGACTGCCAAATATATATCATATGACATCAGAGTCCAAACATAATGGAAAAGCAATAAAAACAAGGTTCAAAGGCCACATCCAGAGACATGAAATTTGCATTTCCCCAAGTGACCCTCACAATAGCCTGCCAAAAGAGACAGAAGACCTTTCATGAGAGGCCAATTCAGCCCTGTTGTAAGCAGACACAACTCCATCTAAGTCTATGGACTTACGTCCTCTTAAACCAGGGCTGAATTTGGCCTGTTCTCTCTAACAGCAGTATTTACTACATTTTGTACCATTTAGAGAGCACCCCCATTATTTTTCTGTTTTAAGTTATGGGGGCACGTTCTGATTTCACTTACCCCTGTATAAATCCAGAGCAACTTAAGTGGTGTTACATCACTATAAAACCTATTAGGGCTGTCCAGCGATTAAAAAAATTAATTGCACGATTAATCACACTGTTAAACAATAATAGAATACCATTTATTTAAATATTTTTGGATGTTTTCTAAATTTTCAAATATATTGATTTCAATTACAACACTGAATACAAAGTGGACAGTGCTCACTATATTTATTTTAATTACAAATATTTGCACTATAAAAAACAAAAGAAATAGTATATTTCAATTCATCTAATACAAGTACTGTAGTGCAAGCTCTTTATCATGAAAGTTGAACTTACAAATGTAGAATTATGTACAAAAAATAACTGCATTCAAAAATAAAACAATGTAAAACTTTAGAGGCTACGAGTCCACTCAGTCCTACTTCTTGTTCAGCTAATCACTCAGACAAACAAGTCTGGTTACAATTTGCAGGAGATAATGCTGCCCGCTTCTTGTGAGAACAGGTGTTCGCATGGCACTGTGGTAGCCAGCGTTGTAAGATATTTACGTGCCAGGTGCGTTAAAGATTCATATGTCGCTACATGCTTCAACCACCATTCCAGAGGACATGCATACATGCTGATGACGGGTCCTGCTCAATAACGATCCAAAGCAGAGCGGACCGACACATGTTCATTTTCAACATTGGAGTCAGATGCCACCAGCAGAAGGTTGATTTTCGTTTTTGGTGGTTTGGGTTCTGTAGTTTTCGCATCGGAGTGTTACTCTTTTAAGACATCTAAAAGCATGCTCCACACCTCGTCCCTCTCAGATTTTGGAAGGCACTTCAGATTCTTAAACCTTGGGTCAAGTGCTGTATCTATCTTTAGAAATCTCACATCGATACCTTCTTTGCGTTTTGTCAAATCTGCCATGAAAGTGTTCTTAAAATGAACATGTGCTGGGTCACCATCCAAGATTGCTATAACATGAAATATATGGCAGAAATGGGTAAAACAGAACAGGAGACATATAATTCTCCCCCAAGGAATTCAGCCACAAATTTAATTAACGCATTATTTTTTTTAAGGAGCATCATCAGCATGGAACCATGTCTCTGGAATGGTGGCCGAAGCATGAAGGGGCATATGAATGTTTAGCATATCTGGCACATAAATACCTTGCAACGGCAGCTACAAAAGTGCCATGCGAACACCTGTTCCCACTTTCAGGTGACATTGTAAATAAGAAGCAGTCAGCAGTATCTCCCGTAAATGTAAACAAACTTGTTTGTCTTAGCGATTGGCTGAACAAGAAGTAGGACTGAGCTGACTTGTAGGCTCTAAAGTTTTACATTGTTTTGTTTTTGAATGCAGTTATGTAACAAAAAAATCTACATTTT